TCAGCTAGTTTAGAATAAACACAATGAATTAAAAGAGTCACTTCAAACTATAATACATACCTATATTGAAAAATAGAAGAAAAAAATGCAACATGTAGTAGAAAAACATGCCTGTTAATACATGAAAACATTTTAACACTATCGACAATCAGTTAAATTACCTGGGATTTACATATACAAAATTACCACTTACTCAGATATTATGAAATCTAAGACTGTGGAAAAAGAAACAATTAATTAATTATATTTATCTACTACTCTTCAATACCTTCTAAGATGGCTAATCAGCCTACACGTGTTTCGTGCGCTCTGTGCAATACTAACATTGACGATGTGAAAACAGTGATTACATGTACCATCTGCAGTAAGAACTTCCACTCTCGCTGTGTAAATGTTGACCTTCGAAATTTTCACTTGAAGAAACATTGGGTATGCGGAAGACCCCTATGTATTAAACCGATGCCTCAGTTGAAAACTACAACTGGTGAGATAGAAACAGAGACTTTTTGGGACGCGGCCGAAAATATTTTGGATGCTAAAGTGTTCCAATATATCTTGAAGCAAAAAGACGAGTTGATTCATGAATTAAAGGGTAAAATCCATCTATTAGAAAAGCATGTCGAACTACTGCATGAAAAAGCTGGTGAGAAAAGTTTGGGTAAAAAATCCGATATCTCCAATGTTGACGGTGAAGCGTCATTCGAGATAACCCAAAACACGAAGCCAAGAAAAAACAGCAAATAACCAACAGCTGATGTAAATAAACAAAATCCAAATCTGACTTCACCTAAGACGTTTCACGAGGAAAGCGGTAAGCCCGAAAATAGAAAAAACCAGTGTGACTCATTACAGACAAGTATGATTAATAACAGAAAGAGAGAAGCTTCAACGACATTAGCGAAGACCAATATTGTTAACAAACAACCGATCGTTGGTAAAAGAAGCGATTCTGTGACGATAAGGGCATCGCCAGCCAAAGCCTATCTATACATCAGAAGACTTGCCAAGAGTACAACCGCTGCCGATCTGAAAGGATACTTGGTGGAAGACTTCCCAGAAGTTGTCTGTGAACCTCTGAAAACTATGAAGCGTCTCACTCAAGATTCAAGGTTACTGTTAATTTTGATAATCTTGAAAAGATCTACAATCCGGATTACTGGCCAAATGGAGTCCTAATCTCAAAGTTTTTTCATCCCAGAAGTCCAAAAATTCAACAGAAATAACATCAGGCCAGCATTACAAGACGGATCTGCCTAAAACCAGCCTTGAGAACTCTCACGATGACAACATGTTTCGAAGCATTACCTTAAAAATTGCTAACCAAAATATTCAAAGTCTGGGGAACAAAGCTGTACGCCTAGAGTACCATCATCAAAGTACCGATGTATTAGTCATAACAGAACATTGGATGGACGAGCAAAGAATCTTAAATTTCAAATTGGGTAATTTTTTGTTAGGTAGTTATTTCTGTCAGGATAAATCAGTAGATCATGGAGGAGTAGCTATATTTGTTCGTGAAAAAAATTGTTAAATATAAGGAACTTATATTTGTGAAAAATATTTCGGTTATCAATGTGATAGAGTGTTGTGCCGCAGAAATTCCAAATTATCATTTAATCATTGTGGGTATTTGCAGACCTGGAACAAACCTTCAAAATTTAAACATCTTTTTTGATAGAATAAGTTGGATACTGTCACACCTATCTAAATTTAAAGACAGACATATAGTAATCACTGGTGATTTTAATATTCATTTCAATGATAGCAATAAGAAGGAAACAAAAAAATTACATGATATCTTAACTGTGTACAATATGACGCCCCTGTCTACTGCACCGACAAGAGTGACCCCCTCCAGTAGTTCATGTCTGGATAACATCTGTGTGAGTATTCAGGATGTCCATAATTGTCACTTTTCAGTATTTAACGACTTCGTATCTGACCATTCTGGTCAGATGTTGCTACTTCACATTGATGAAAATATATCAAAAGCCAAAGTGGACCTCACTCAAAGGCGGATTTTCTCTAACGACAATATTACTTATTTTCGTAAACTTTTATCAACTCAAAAGTGGGATACTGTCTTAAAGGAAGAGGATGTGAATGTAAGTTTCAATCGGTTATGCAATATTTTAAGCAATGCATTTTCAACTGCTTTTCCTTTAAAAACTATCAAATCTAATTCAATTAAAAATAAACAAGATCTGTGGGTGACGGATGAAATAATTAGAATGAAAAATCTTGTGGCACTATATGCAAATCTATCCATGAAGTATCCTACCTTTAAACCGATTTTTTTTTTGCTTAACAGTCAATATCAAGATATGTTAGTAGCAAGGAGGAAGGCCTATAATGATAATCTGATTATGACTGCAAACAATAAAAGCAAGGCCACTTGGAGAATTATAAATAAAATAACGAATAAAAGTTTTAAGGACTCTAATATTGAAATTTTTGAAAATGGTGCGACTTGTTCTGTTAAGGAAAGTGCCGAAAAACTTAATAATTTCTTTGCTAGTGTGGCGCACAACTGTACTGCCAATTTACCGAATACCATAGATATTGACTTTGTCAGAAGTAACATTCCTCCAAATTTACATAGTTTTTTTTTTGCGCCATAACAAATAGTGATGTTGGTAGTGCAATAAATAAATTGAAATTTTCAATGTCAGCCGGTGAAGATGGCATCTGCAATAATTTATTGAAGGCGGTGTCGGAATTTATAACTACCCCATTAACTTATATTTTTACCTTGTCCTTCTTAAAGGGCATCTATCCTGATTCGTTAAAGAATGCTCTAATTATTCCTCTTTTTAAGAAGGGTGACCGTAATGCAGTGGAAAACTATCGCCCTATCAGTCTCCTGCCATGCATTGGCAAAATTCTTGAAATCATTGTAAATGATAGACTCACAGGCTTTTTAGAAAAATATAATCTCTTGCACCATTGCCAGCATGCATTCAGAAAAAGCTTTAGTACTGACACTGCACTCAGCCAATTCATTCACAACATTCAGTTATCACTTGATAGAAATTTAACAACCATGGGTTTGTATGTGGATTTCACTAAAGCCTTCGATTGTGTGAACCATCAAATACTAATTGAAAAACTTCATAGATATGGAATTCGTAGGGTTGCTCTAGATTGGTTTACCTCTTACTTATCCAATCGTTCGCAAAAAGTGCAGTTACATAATGCCACCTTCTCCTCGTTAAGAAATGTAGATTGCGGAGTGCCTCAAGGGTCGATCCTCGGGCCTACTTTATCTATGCTAATGACCTTCATTTGTATTTACAAAAGTTTCCTAATGTTTTGCAAATCTATTATGCTGATGATTCAAATTTTTTGATAACTGGTAACAGTCTACAAGAAGTTGCTTCTATTTCAACCGGACTATTGCAAAGCATAACTTTATGGTGTACCAAAAATAGGCTTGTGATTAATAATGACAAAACAATGCACATGTTATTTCGGAAAAAGTATAGTAGTTTTGAAAACTCTCTTAATATCTCATTGTCTAATTCTACTAAACTACTGGGAGTTGTAGTTGACAACACATTGTCGTGGACGTCACATATTGACTATATTTGTGGTAAACTAACGAAGGTTTGTTATATGCTTAAAAGTGCTTCGCATTACTGTAGTAGGGATATCCTGATAACTCTATACTTTGGTCACTTCCACTCGATACTTGCCTATGACATTGAAAATTGGTACAGATCATCTCAATTTGAAATTAATCGGGTGTTTAAAATACAAAAATGAGCAATCCGTACCATCGCAGGTCTGAAAAGATTGGATTCTTGCAGACCATTCTTTAAGATTTACAATATTCTTACTGTTGCTAATATTTACATATGCAAGGTATTAAGTTTTGCCTTTAAATATAGAGGAAAATTTCAAACCTGTGGTGCTACTCATACATATTTTACCAGAAACAGGGAATGTCTTCTACCTGAGAAACATGTTACGTCAAAATACCAAAGAAGTTTATTCTTTAATTCGTGTAAACTTTATAATAACCTGCCGAACGATATAAAAAAAATAGATAATTTTTTTATATTCAAGAAAACTATTAAACGATATTTATTAGAAAAAAATTGTTATGCTGTTAACGAATATTTTAATTGATATGTCTCTGTTTTTAATTTTTTATTTGTTTTGTACCTAATTATTTATGTAATGTAATCGATTACTTTGCTATGACGTGCAAAAATGTAGACATGTTGTATATGTTTTTATGAAATATATTATTATTATTATTAATAATAATAATATAGTCCTTATACCCGTAACCACAGGGATACAATTATGCTCATAAAACACTCGTGTTTTATGGATTTTATTCATAGCATTGCTTTGTTGGTTGCCTATTGTATCCTCAGCTCAGTTTGCAATCTGTGGAGGTGTGCATCGCTTTCCATTCAAAAACACAAAGAAAAATACTAAATTACGTACAACAACCAACATTTGTTGATTTTGGAAAGCAATAAATGTAGATATCGATGCACAACAATTTTTCGGATATTGTAATATTGGTTGCCTATTTATGCAGTGTGAAGAATATTTAAACATCGCCTCCCTTAGTGGAGTCCACCCCCAGATCTTTTTCAGGAATGTTAGATTCGTTGATAAAACGTCGTATTCGACTCGAACATAATGGGTTGAGATTAGAATCAAATAGTCAAAAAACGAACTCGGACCGCAAGTAGACAAATAATACTAACTTCTTTTACAGTACTCATGAAATTTATTCAGGAAGGCAAACTATTTAAATGAATATGATTTTGTTCTTAATAAAGTTAATATAATGTATGATTTTGAACTGTGGTATTTTAGATTTTTAGAAGATACTAACTATATTCTTGGCTTTATTCATTTTACTTCGATAAAAATTTATTAAATAATGTTAAATATAACGTCGCCACTATTTATTAATCCCTATTTTTATATTTTTTGCCACTTGCCCAAAATGATGTTCGCATGAAAATAAAAATCCGTTATCGGTCGTGATTCTTTATTAATTTTATACGCGTGTATACAATGATTACTATTATTTTTATAATTGAAACATTATTTGAAGTAAATCCAAAACAAGGTAGCCGGGCGCAATACAATCGACACACTAATCCTGGCCCATGTAATATGAACAGATAACAACAGTATTTGTATTAACATGTTCTAAATACTTATTGTCTATAATATTAGCCGTCAAATATCTTTCGATATAAAGATTGGGAAAAGTTTCCTTTCCTCCATCTACATAGCACTCACTATTTGCCATTTCTAAAAGTCTGTTTACCGTTACGTGTTTCAAAATTACGTCATTTTCTTCGAACGCAGTCACCAAATTGAGTGGTTCTTTTCCTTGTAAAGAAATGGTGAACTTCTGCATTATTTCGTCATACAATTGGCCTTTTGATTTCAAATCAGACAAGTTTTCAAACACTGAAAGATTTTTCATCCATTTTCCACGATTTCTCTCACCAAGTATGATAAATTTTGCATCTGGACAGAGTTCAATAGCTTTCTCCATATTTTCGTGTTCTTTTACAATTAGGGGACATTTGTCCATCAACCACAGCAACTGTGTCAACAAAATTGGATCCAGATTTTGGACACTATTTATATAATCAATAGAAAGCGAATAAAGTGATCGAACTTTGTTTAGCTCTTTGAGGTCAACATTCTTGTCCAAGTCGCCCCACAACTTTTTAACTTCGTTGTTGCCTTCTTTTTCCAATAACGTAATGTCAAACGAACAAATAGCCTCTCGAAGAATTTTCATTTCGTCTGTGACGGAATCAAAAACAAAATGTTCGATATGAGAAGAAAGTAGATGAAGTGCGATTGCACGTTGTATAATTTTTTTGCTTAATTTTTCTTTCTTTCCTTCTTTAAAACTCCACTCCGAAATGACCTCGACGTATTTCTTGAAGGTTTCTTCGCTAGAACAAAACATCTCAGTAAATCTACTCATGGTTGATTTTGTAAGAGGTTCAAAACGTTCTTGGTTTGTGTAAAGACGAAAGTTTTCGAAGAAAATTCGATACTGCTGAATTTTTTCAGGATTTTGTTTAGTCTCTTCGTCCTCTAGGATTTGGAATTCATAATAAAAATCTACATTTTTTGAAATTCTTAAAACGTCGAAATTATCTCCTGAAACCGTTTTTTTAATCGCCTTCAAGTAAAAGTTTTCTCCATCTAGTTTAAATTTTGTTTTCTCTGAAATTTTGGAAATGTTTGTGGTAAATAAAATAAAAGTTTTCATTTCGCCCTGAACCTTTTGAGCAGAACTGAAATATTTGATTAAACTAAAGTCTCCACTTTTGTCTGCCAGCTGCTTTATGATTAAGTGTCTTTTATCATTACTGTGTTTTAATTGCACTGCTTTTGTTTCGATTCCCCTATCTGTCCCAATTTCGATAACTACGTCATCAAAATCACCAAACTTTTTATCGTTCGATGAAATGAGGAAGTCTTTAATTTTAGTGTTGCTTATCATTTGTAGTGCGACGTTAGCGGTGATCAAATCTTCGTATTTGTTACCCTTATTCGTGGTTCCTTTTCGTTTTTCAAAAGTCTGAAATAGAATCAACAACGTGAAAAAATGTTTTATAGATTTCTCTTTTTTTATTTTGTATTTGATTCGTTAAAATTTGAACTCTACCGTTACGAATAACCAACTAATTATTTCATGTTGAAGAAATCTGCAGCTAACCATTAAAGTGTTTTTTATCATAAACAGATTTACCTCTTCGGTATTTTCCATAATGCGTTGATTATCTCCTAATACAACAACTTGCTTGCTTGTTTGAAGTATCTTGTGTTCGCACTAGATCTGTCTGCTAAAAAAATAATTGATGAAAGTTATTTTTTTACTCACAACAAATTGATTATACTTTTCTCAGGTTTTTGACTTTTTTCTCATAATTATGTCTTTTTAAAACTAATCTACCAATCTAATAATAAAATTAATCGATCAAACGAACTGAATAGTGAAGTTCGATCGTAATTATACGATCTGTCCCGCCTGAAATGATCACTTACTGTAGTACCCCTATTGTAGTCTCGAGTCTCACACGTTTAAAGAAAGTTGAAAATTTTCAACTTCCCGCCATCACTTTCAGGTGGCAGCTCTGACTGACAACGCCATCGAGGTCATTACTTCAAAGCTGGAGAGAATAGGTGATGTCGCAGAAATGATCCGGGAACAATGCACCCGCGGAAGATTCGGGCGAGGAGGGAGTGATCATTTCAGGCGGGACAGATCGTATAATTACGATCGAACTTCACTATTCAGTTCGTTTGATCGATTAATTATACTCCTGTCCCGCCTTCATAATCACTTACTGTAGATGTTTAAGAAAAGGAAGGCGACATCAGCAAAAAGTTTTAGTAGTAACATAGTACTAGCTAGGAACTCTTACAAATAACTTAACCTAGAACAGCTGCTGAAAAAACGCCTTCGGACGACAAGGGTCTGTCGTAGAATTGAGCAAAAACAGCTGATTGTTGGGACCAGCCCGCGGTGGCCCGAATGGTATCTATGGACACACCCTGGCGCTTCGCGTGCGAAGTAGCCGCATGCCGAACACTATGCGCGCGAAAAACTTTGGTATTAATGCCGCTGTCCTTCAACGTTGCCTTTATCCAGCGACTCAGGGTCTGTGATGAGGCGGACTTAAAAGGCCGTTGCAGGATCAAGAACAGCCTATCTATCTCTGGTGGTCGATGCGCAGCCGTACGGCGAATGTACAACTGGAGAAGCGTGGCCACACAGAGCTCGGGTTTGTCGCGAAAAAACGGCAAAAAAAGTGACGGTTGGGGACAACCCTTGCGTGAGGTTTTAATGGGAAGTGCAATGTTGATCGTAGCCCCAGATTCAGAAAACGTTATATGCGGTAGTTGAATCAGCGACAATGTCTGCACTCGATGTGCAGTGACGAGAGCGATGAGCGTAACCAGTTTCAGAGTCAGTTCCCGGATCGATGTATGGTCCGTTGACGGTGTCAAGTACATGGGTTCGGATCTTAGCATGCTTAGGAATCTGGGATATCAAGGTTGTGTAGGCCACAACGGAACCACCACTAAACCTTCCGCGCAGTCGGTGACAATTTTTTGCAAGACTGATAAAATGAGTATGACGCGAAGAGCCACAGATGTTTCTGTTCGGCCCACTGCAAAATTTCTTTGGCTAGATGGTCTCCCATTTTATTTATGTAGGCGATGGCCGGAGTGTTGTCAACCCGTAGTAGGATGGCGCAGTCGCTGAGGTGTTGGCCAAAGTGCTTCAAAGCGAGGAAAATCGCCAGCAGTTCCAAATAGTTAATATGGTGACGTTTCTCGTCTTCCGACCAATGGCCGTGGACTCGGTCATCTCCCGAAACCGCTCCCCAACCGGATCGAGAGGCGTCGGTAAAAATCACAACAGAAAAGTTAGGCCTGTGGATAGGAGCGGAAGTATTGGGTAAGGTCTGACTCCACCATTGCAATTCCATCCTTGCCTCTGCGGAAATAGTCATTTCGGCTTCATAATTGTTACCTGAGGCGATTCAGGCCCGCCATTTATTTCTTTCCAATGCTTTAGTGTAGAGCCAACCATATTCCGTGGCAGGGCACACAGAAACCAGGGTGCCCAAAAGCGATGCAAATATCCGTATTTTACAGCACTGGCACTGTAAAAGGGTGGCTACACGCTGGGCAACGGCGCATCGCTTATCCGGTGGAAGGTTGATGGTCATTGATATTGAGTTAAAAACGAAAACCCAGGAATGTACACGTTTTGGTAGGGGTCAAGCGACTCTTAGCATAGTTTATGACAAAGCCCAAACGATTCAGAAGGGATACGGTGGCTGTGACGTTTCTAGCGCAGCTCCCAAAACTATTTCCCGTCAGGAGAAAATCATCGAAGTATACCACTGACTCGTTTCCTTCGCGTCGTAGCTTTGCGACCACTGGCTTCATAAGCTTGGTAAAAGACCACGGGGCAACGCTAAGTCCGAAAGGCATCACTAAAAATTGATAAAGTCCATTTTGGAAACGGAAACGCAAATACTTTTGACAAGACCGCGCGACTGGAATCATAAAGTATTCATCCTTCAAGTCAATAGTAGCCATATAGCAATGGCGAGAGAGAAGACGCATAACCGTCTTCCTGTCCTCCATCTTGAAGTGGTGCGTTACCACAAATCGGTTCAACGGTTTTAGGTTTAATATGAACCGCGAGGAACCATCTGCTTTTGGTACCAAGAAAATTCGCGAAATGAATTGGCCATCACAAGGTTCACAGGCTGCAACCGCGCCAATTCGAATCAGTGTGTTAATCTCCGAGCGGAGGGCGGTGGTTTCCGCAGGAGACCAGTCCGGAGTTGACGGAATATATGTCTGCGAGGGTGTCGAGTGGAAGGGAATAACTAGGCCGTTAACCATGGATAGGACAGAGTGGTCATTTGTTATTGTCCTCCACTCCTCCATGAAGGTGTGGAGCTCCCCTGCATATGATTGTGTGCTTACCGTAGCTACTGACGGGGCAACGCTCTGTTCGTCGCAGAGCGGTGTGTTCCGGATCGTCTCGACGATGGGGCTATTTGCGCCTGTTGGCTTTGACGGCTGGATTTCTTTGAGTGGCCGTGTTGTGCCCCTCCGCGGCTGTGCGACTGGCGATACCGAGAGGGGCCCTTGTAGTTTAAATGTCGTGCGTCCTGGTGGTGTGAGACGACAGGTGGAGGACGAGGTTTCGTCACCGGAGTTCTTTTCAGATCCGCTGATGTTCTCTCCAAAGGTTTAGCCGTCTTGATTCGCTCGCTGAGGTTATCGCCGAAAAGCCAACCGTCAACGGACGCCTCCGATAAAGTATCCTTGAGGGCAGGGCTCAAGGTTGCTTTGATAATTTGTCGGCGAGCCTGAGATTGATCATGATGAATGTCACCAAATAACTTCGCCGCATCGCTGATGCACTCTACTAGACGTAGCTCGAAATTATCCTGACGGTCGGTGGCGAAAATCAAGTCTAAAGCAGTTGCCAGACCTGACAATCCTGCTCCCATTTGGTTCTGGATTGCAATCAGGCGCGCATCCTTCCTTGCCACTACCTCGGAAATTGCAATTCGGGCTTCCTGGTTCAGACGAGGCGCCGCTAAAAGAGGGCAGTTTGACCTCAGAGGATATTTGGTGATTAATTCCTTCCTAGTGTCGGAAGGTAAACCATTGGCCAAAATGTCGCGCCACACTTGTACCAAATTCGGGTTCATTGGCACCTGCTCGGCGGTCGCCGCATTTGGGTCGACCCCCAAAATTCGTAGAATCTCTTCAGGGAGAGATTGGTCTGTTCCTGCAAAGGAGAAAACGTGAAGGTTCGTCAGGGTTCCGACAAGGTGGTGAAGGCTAGGCAGCCAACTATACACGCAAAGGGAGCGGACCTTTTCGCCCCCCCCCCCTTTGTTCAGATGTAGGAAATTCGAACTCCGTTAAGACTAGAAGTGAGAGTTCTCACCTGCAAGGACACTACCAGAGTTCTGTCATTCGAACTCCTGAAAAAAAACAAATGAGAGTTCTCACCTGCACGAGCACTGCCAGAGTTCTGGCGTTCGGACTTCCTAAAGGCAAGAAGTGAGAGTTCTCACATGAAGAGCGCTGCCAGAGTTCTGGCGTTCGAACTCCCTAAAGCAAGAAGTGAGAGTTCCCACCTGCACTAGTACTGCCAGAGTCCTGGCGTTCTAACTCCGTTAAAAGCAAGAAGTGAGAGTTCTCACCTGCAAGGACACTACCAGAGTTCTGGCATTCAAACTCCTGAAAAAAAACAAATGAGAGTTCTCACCTGCACGAGCACTGCCAGAGTTCTGGCGTTCGGACTTCCTAAAGGCAAGAAGTGAGAGTTCTCACATGAAGAGCGCTGCCAGAGTTCTGGCGTTCGAACTCCCTAAAGCAAGAAGTGAGAGTTCCCACCTGCACTAGTACTGCCAGAGTCCTGGCGTTCGAACTCCGTTAAAAGCAAGAAGTGAGAGTTCTCACCTGCAAGAGCACTGCCAGAGTTCTGGCATTCAGTCTGAACTTCATCAGTGGGGCAATTAAATGTAGCTTCCGAATAGCTTTCAGGAGAAGGTGAATCACAGGTTGGATCAGTAACCTCAAAAAAAAAAAAACTGCGCTTGGCCCCGTTCTGCAGCGGAAGTCCGGGAAGTCGAGGCCACGGGACTCGAGCTGGAGGAACTCCGTGGCCGTCGTTGCTGCTTCTCGAGTGCGCGAAGCAAGCGCTTGTGTAAACGTGCGATCTTGTTTGCGCCGTAATCTGTGGCATCAGAGGCGCGACCCCGACTGCGGGGACGCTTGGAAGAATGTGTGCGATGATCCCCCATAGCAAAAATGCACGTGAAAAACCACAAAAGATACTCCAAACGAAAACGCGTGAAAACGTGGAGACACACAACAGAGTAATGACCTCGATGACGTTGACAGTCAGAGCTGCCACCTGAAAGTGATGGCGGGAAGTTGAAAATTTTCAACTTTCTTTAAACGTGTGAGACTCGAGACTACAATAGGGGTACTACAGTAAGTGATTATGAAGGCGGGACAGGAGTATAATTACACCGTTCTCTTACTCCTAATGGGCTACGATAGGTATTTTTTTAATAATTTAATTTTCAACTTACCCCACAGGAATGCTAAATACTTTTGAAACATGTAGGTAATCACCAAAAACTTTTATAAAATATGCTACAATTATACGGAATTACTTTATGAATATTGCTATGAACTTAACAGTCATGCGTATTGTTGAATCTCTGAAAATATGGTACTTAAGGTGTGGTGCGTAAATCTGATAAGAGTAAATGCTGCTGATATCGAGACCTTCGAGATATGAAAAATCCACAAAAATTTTGTTTTACGATAACACTTGGCTGTGCTTTTTGCATTCTATTCCATAAGTAACTAATTTTAGTCTTCTGTTTTGAGGAGACAACTCATTCAAATTAAACAAATTTCTACGTGACATTCTTTCGATGTAGGTATATATAAACATAAACAATCAAAGTTAAGCGTATACACTGACAATAATACACTCTTTTCCGTTGGTTATTTGCTTTGAACACAATTCATATTGTCTGTATATCTGCGGACGGCACCTCCTTAGAATTTGTTGGATTGTACTTTAAGGGCAAGGGAAGTTCTGTCGCAGTAACCGTGGACTAATTTTCTTTTTGAGGCATCTTGTGTGAGTAATTTTAAAAAGTATGTGTCCATTATGCGTAAACCAAAGTATAGAGTCATAATATTTTGCAAATTTTAAATAAAATTTATTCAGAAAAATTTGACATGATGTCATCACTTATGTTTAAATGAACAACAAAAATTAAGTTGATTATTAATTAAATTATGGGGTTGGAAATAGGAACAAAAGAGCAGAAGCAGATAATTGTAAAGGTGACAAAATTTTCAGAAGAGAAAGCCAAAGTAGAGAGTAAAGTTAAAAGCGCGTACAAAATTGCAGATAAAGTTTACGTAGTGGAATTCGAAAATAGAGAAGAAAAAATAAATGTAATGAAAAGCAAGAAGAACTTAAAAGGGTCGTAATTTTACATAAATGAAGATCTGATGAAAACGGAAAGAAAAATTCAAATCAAAATAAAAGAAGAGGCAACAAAAGAGAGAAATAAAGGGAAAATGGTTAGAATGGGAAATAAAAAGTTAATGTAGATGGCAGAAATTTTGAATGGAGTGAAGAAGAGGGTATACTCAAGAAGGTAGAAAAATTTTAGTATAGAGCCAAAAGAAAAGGAAGAAAAGGAGGAAAAATTGTAGGAAACACGGGAAAGGAAAAGGAAAGGGAATAAAGGATGCAGATAGGGAAATCGGAAAAAGGGAAACAGGTACAAAATTAGGAATAAAAGGGGTGAAGGTACTGTTTTGGAATGTCCAAGGGTTGCGAAAAAAGGAAAAGGAGTTCTGGGAGCACGTGGGAAAATTTGATGTGGTGAGGCTAGTAGAGACATGAGTACAAAGAGAAAACTGGGAGTAATTTGAATGAACACTACCACAATAATATGTGAGTAATACAGCTGGATAACATACATAGGAGGGGATTTTAACGCAAGACTAATCGATAAGAGGACAAGAATAATAGATAAAGAAAAGGGAGAGGAAAGAGGATCAAAAGACAAAGCAAATAATAAAGAAGGGAAAATATTGTAGAAGATAATAGAAGAAATGGGATGGGAAATTTTGAATGGAAACAAGGAAGGAGATGAACAAAGAGAATGTACGTACGTAGGGGCTAGGGGAGAATCAATTATAGACTATGGAATTATCATCGAAGAGGCGTGGAAAGAAATAGAGAGTTTCTCAAAGTGGGGGAAAGGGTAGAATCGGACCACATGCCACTAGAAATAAAAATCAAAGGAAAAGATCAAGAGTACGAAAAACAAGAGAGAAGAAACGAAAGAAAAGAAATAGAAAAAAGAATTGGGATGAAGAGGGAATTCAATGATACAGAAGTAGACTAGAAAAAAAGAAATTCGATGTAAAAGAAGATATAGAAGCTATGATAGCAGAACTGATCAACTTAATTGTAAAAGCCACGGAAAAAAGAAAGATATACATATGGCAAGGGAGGAATAATGGATGGAATGGAAAATGTAGTGAGTTGAAGAGAAAAGCAAGAAAAAAATTAAGAAAAGGGAAAAATAAAACACGAAGGAAAGAGGAATACTTAAAAGCAAGAGAGAATTATAGGACAAAATGTGAAGAAAGAAAAAGAGAGAAACGAGAAGAAGAAGAGAAGACAATAAAGTCCCTGAAAACAGAAGAAGTATGGAGATATATAAACAAGGAACGGAGAAGGAAGACTGAAGTCAGTAGGAAAATCAAAATACATGAATAGAAAAGACACTTTATGGAATTATTGATAAGTTGTGAGGAAAAATGCTGCAAAATAAATAAAGGAATCACAACGACGGAAGAAATGTGGAGAGGTTCGGAAATAACAAAAGATGAAATAGGAAGACAGATTGAAAGACTGAAAAGAGGAAAGGCACTTGGAGGGGATGGAATCCAGAACGAAGCGTGGATGTTCGGGACATAAGGAGTGAAAGAAAGGATATGGGAAGTGGTAGATGGAGTTTGGAAGGAAAAAGGGTTTCTTCGGCAGTGGAGAGAAGGTATAATAATTCCATTATTTAAAAAGGGGCAAAAAAGTTATACAAACAGAGGAGTGAGAGAGGGATGCCCACTCAGCCCCGCGTTGTTTGTAGCTTATCTAGGAGATATAGATGAAATGTTCAGAAAAGCACCGACAGGAGGTGTGGTAGTGGGCAAAAAGAAAATTTGGTCGTTGGCGTAAGCAGATCATAAAAGAGAAGAAATGAAAACAATGATTAAAAGTTTCGAGAAAATACGTTATTATTATTAATAATATTATTCCATCTGCACCTACTAATATAACCACCAGTAATATTCCATTTATTGAAACTGAAAAAATTATAAATGAGCTTTCAGAACGTAAAAAACGTGAATGCAACCTTATTATTTACAATGTTATTGAGAACTGTGTGTCGAAAGATCAACAAATTGTAGCTGATACGAATTTAGTACATGATTTACTAAACGAATTAAAAGTCAACACAGAAATTTTACCACTTGTTCGCTTAGGTAAATTTGATATTACTAAAAGTGACAGGGCACGCCCTATTAAAGTTAAGGTTACTTGCCCTAATGATGTTGATATGATTGTAAAAAAAATTAGAGTTTTAAAATCACTGGAGAAGTGGTCGCGTATTAACGTATCCAGAGATCGTACTCCAATGCAGATTAATGTGTTTAAGGCTGTTAAATGTGATTTGGAAAAGCGAGTAGCTAATGGGGAAAATAATTTGAAAATCCGTTATCGTAATGGTATCCCTAGCATTGTCACCTTGGAAAACTAGTTACGTCCAACAGAAGTATTACATCTTACTCCTATAATTTATATTATCAAAACGCTAGAAGTCTTTCGTCTAAAACTCAGTCGTTCTATGTTAGTGTCTGTGACTTTTCATTTGATATTATAGTTATCAGTGAGACTTGGTTGAATAATTCTATTTTAAGTTCTGAACTGTTTCCTCCTCACTATAACGTTGTTCGTCGTGACCGCATATTTTCACTGCTTGGTCGATCCAGAGGGGGTGGCGTTCTAGTTGCTTTTTCTAATACATTTAAATATGTTGTTATCGATACTAATAATCTCATTGAATTAGTTCCGCTGATTGATATTATAATATGTAACTGTTTTATTGGCTCCTCCAATTTCCTTTTAGTTGCTTTGTACGTTCCTCCTGATATATCATTTGAGGATTTTGAATTGTTTTTTAACGCTCTCGAAATGATTTTAATTAATCATCGGGTGGTTTTGGTTGGGGATCTCAATGTTCCTCAATTTTCAAATGTTAATGTTACGAACTGTCGTAAATCGAGAATTGTAAAGGATTTATGTAGTGTCGTGCAGGTTACACAAGTTAATTCTGTTAAAAACAGCAATGGTAGATTACTTGATTTAGTTCTCTCTAGCCACGACACTAATGCAGTAGTGTTCCAGTGTTTACCTGCGTTAGTACGTGAAGATCCTCATCATCCGGCTCTTCATATACATTTTTCAATCACGTCAGCTGATTTTTCACCTTTTCCTGTATCAACAAATAGACGTTATAACTTTCGACGTGCCAACCTTGTTCGTTTATATAAGGATATTTTTGAATCGGATTGGTCGTTCCTTGATAATCTGGAAGATATTAACTTTGCAGTTGAACAATTTTATTCTCATTTGTACAACTTAATGAATGTTTCTGTGCCCTTTGTTGGTGTTTATTCATCTAAATTTCCTCCTTGGGTATCCTCTAACATTCAACAATATATTAAACTAAAAGCCTATTACAGAAAGAAATGGATAAGAACAAAAGATTGTCGACACTACAATGAATTTAAACGATTAAGATCTCTTGTAAAAAGTCTTTTAACAAACTCTTATAATTAGAGAGCGGAAAATATGCAGCAAAATTTTGAGAAATATGATCATATGATATGCACCAAATTTATGCAAATATGCAGTAACTTTCTTAATATATGCAGAGATATGCAGTTGCATATGCTCCAAAAATTAAAAAA